CCCCCGCCCCCTCCACTTCCTCCTGGAAATCTGGGCTCCCCCTTGAGGAGATCGCCTTCTGGCTCCTCCAGTTCAGGCGTCAAAAAGCCTCCTCCCACCCCGCAGAGGAACTCCAGCATCAAGTCTGGCTCCTCCTCTTTCTACGAGGAATCTAGGAGGAACTTGCTCAGCAAATTTGCTCCCCAGAACAACTGCGCCCCTTCCTCCTCGAGTCCCACCTACTCCTCCAACGGGTCTCCTTTGAAGGACTCGTCAAATGGACCCCCTGCTCCCCCTAAACCGGGCAAACTCAACCTGGCAAACCTTCCTTTAGCCCTGCAGTCCAAAGTGAGCCAGACGAAGCAGTTCGGGGGCGACTTCCCCTCTCCGCCCTCTGACTGCGGCTACTTCCCCCCTCCTCCTCCTGCCTCCGAGCTCTTCCCCCCTCCGCCGCCAGGCAACGAGTCCCACGGCGGAGGAGCTCCCAGGGTAGCTGTGGTGAACCCCCAACCTCAAGCTCCACCTCCGCCGCCCGCCTCCCTCGCCAGCAACTCGATGTGGGCGAAGAACTCTCTTAAAAAGACCCCTCCGCCCACACTCGGCCGACGCAGCAACGTCACCCCGGAACCACTTCCTCCGGCCTCGCCCTCGTCTCCAAAGGGCGTCTCGGGCCAGCCAAACTTCTTGGCGGACCTCAGCCAGACACTGAAGAGGAAGTCATTTGGCCGCCAGGGTTCGGTCACCTCCGCAGGCTTCTCGTGCAAGTTTGAGCCTGCGGGGACCATGGACGACATGGCGCTGCCCCCGCCGCCCCCCGAGCTGCTCCTGGACCAGGGCAAGCACAGCAACGGGGGGAGCGGCGGCTACATGTCCGGAAACATCTCAGGCTATGCAACGATACGGAAAGGACCCCCGCCTGCACCGCCCAAGCGTGGGGAAGGCACGAAACTTACGGGCGATTGTTGAACTCCGAGTTCAGGACACAGACGTTAATATGCATTAGCTGAAGAGGTTTGACTTCCTGTACTGCTTGTGCTCGGTGTAAATACGAAAAGCTAAACTAGACCACGGTTAAACCCTGCATTATTATTATTATTATTAATATTATTTTATTTTTAAATCATGTAAGACATCTTAGATTTGTGAGGTTTACAATCCTGGAATGGTTGGGACTGTAGCAGATAAAAGGTTAGCAGGTTTTGGATAGTCCCTTTATGGAAACTCCCACCGTTTGAGATTTAAATCGACCCTGGAAGGAATCATGCGAACGTAGTCTGAGCCAAACTTGGTTCTTTGCCATGAAGTCGTGCCACGTCCTGAAGACCAAACCCTCTTCTGAGTTTTTACTTTTATTTTATTTTTTGCTTTGATGCATGGATTACACAGGACTTCAGACTGTAAACCACAAAGCTGTTGGTGTGTGTGTGTGTGTGAACGTGTGCGAGAAAAAGACTGAATCTGCATGCATGCATTGAGTGCGTGCATGTAGGAACAGCAGTGAAGTAGTTAAAGTTAGAAGGAAAAAAACAGAAGGTCTTTGTGTTACGATGAAAAGTTTGCTTTTATATAAAATAATTTAAAAGAAATGTGTTTTTTTTTTATAAAAGAAATGTCTTAGCTGGTCAACAGAGTCTAGTCAATCAGAGCGTTAGGGTGTGCTGGAATGTATGTGAGGCGTTTTTCAAAACATGACAAAGATTATTCAGCAGTGCCCCGTTTTGTTGTAGGAACTGTTTCACTTCTTGGAAAAATGCAAATCAGAAGGAAGCCTTATTCCCAAAGTCTTGCCCAGAGGTCAAAGCAGAGAGGAGAAATCTTCCACAGGCTGTAAAGGAGTCAGGAAAAGTGCCCATGGAAAAAGACTTGTGTTAAACAGAAGGGAGGCCTACAGTCGTGTGCAAGTCCCCCGTGTGTTGGCTTGATTTTTGGACCTTATCCTTCTGTTTGCATCTGTACAGCTGCAGCTCCGTTTCCTTCGGTTCTCTACCGCCTCTTTCCGAACACCTCATCCAAGGAGGAGAGAACTGAAATCTCATTTTACAGGACAAAGCGATGGAAGTTGTTTGATGTACAAAGCGTTAAGATTTGAAATTTATTTACATCGTCCAACTTGCATTAGACTGAAAGTGCTTTCCGCTCCGTCTCGTTTCTTCATGGTGCCATTTGCTGCTTCAGTATGAAAAGGACTGAACTTTGGGTCTATAAAAGTCGAGCACCAAGGGTTTGTTTCTTGCAGCCACGCTTTTTGTTTTTAAGGTGCTAGTGCTGCCTTCAAGCAACCCTTACTTGACAGATTTTCATACACCTGGACGACATTAATTCACATCATATCAACGCTTGTCATGAGCATGTGCTGGTCCACAAAAGGCTTATTAAACCCGCTGTTCGTTTGTCTTTCTCAGCTACGGAGGCTTAATTAATAGATCTTGACAGGATGTTTGCCACATATATATTATTGATGTTGGGGGTGGGGGCGGGGGGCAAAGTGAGGTGTAGACAGAAGGGTGAGTAAATGTTTCCTCTTGCATATAAACTGAAAAACAATATAAATGTTCCAACTAGACTTCAGCTTGTCTGTCCTTTTTTTGTTTTTCATCGATTTTTATTTGAAAAGTAATGGATCGCTGTGATCATTGCTCCCTCTAGTGGCTGGATTCTGAACCACAGTGTGGACATGAAAAATAAGTCATCCTCTAGCTGTCCTTTGTCCTTCAGCAGGCCTCACAAAAATACCTAATACACCTGGAGAAAAGCATCTCCCAAATTAGTTTATTTTTTATTTATTTATTTTGTTTTGTTTTAGAACTCATTTGAGGAAATGCCAAAGATTTGTCTGTTTGTAAAAGTAAAAATCTGAATTCTTAATCTCAGCAAAATAACTCAGTATAATGAGCATGCAGTTAGTATACTCCACAGATGTTGTCTGTATAGAGATCATAGAGCAAGCCGCTTGGTCAAAAGAGGTGCCAATCAAAAAGGGGCGGGGCCTACAGCCTTTTTGACACATTTCAATTTGAAAAACTGGCAGAATCTACAAGGCTTTTTATCAAAATATAAGTTAGTGTCAGCTGTAATTCAGAGTAATAATCTGGGCATTTATTGAAAGTAGAATGTTTTATTAGTGCATTCTTGGTTTCAAAGATGCAAAACGGAAAAGACGGTTTAAATGTCTGATTTATAAAATCCTGACTAAATGATGGAGGTAGTACCAGGTGTGACTGAGGTCAGTGTATTAACARAGTGCTGCACACAGTGGCTTTCATTTTTAGTTTAAAGCTTGTTCTAATTGTAGAGCTGGTCAGACCTGCTGTGGTCACTGTAGTGTGAAAAGGTTCTGTGTCGACCAGCATTAAATTCACCTTATTAAACACATGGCTCATGTACACTCAGTAAAGCTGTGCAGGTTACAGCTATCAGCACCATGTTTCACTGCGGTGGAGTTTTATGGGTTAAAAGCTTCAGTTTTTGCTCTGGTCACTAATCTGACTGTCCAGTGTTACATGTCTGTGTGTAGATTTTTGAGTTTTATGTTAGTGAAACATAGGAATTTTCTCAGAGCTGTCCACTTTCAGCTGATAGATGATGTTGGTGCCAAAAACTGTGCTGGGCTGTCACCATCCGGGGACAGTTAAAGTTGTCTCATCTACGAAAGACCGCCCCACTGTCGCCTAAAACCAAGAACCACAGGATTCAGGACTATCAGAAGTTCAGGTATGTTTGTTTACATCTAGGCACCTCATGTTGCAGGAAATGTTGGTGTCACTGAGAAGAAATTGGGGGGGGGGGGGG